AGGACAGTGCAGACATTCTGGAAAGAGTTGGATGAGTCTAATGGTGATTACGAAGGCACAGAAGCTCAAAAAATCTCACTCTGATCATTCTGATAAGAAAAGAACTCCAGAATTTGTTAGTAAGGTCCTCACACTGAACATGGAGCTCTATATCAAGTGCCTTGAGGAGATAGTGCTGCTCTGAGTCATGACGGTGGCTGCTGGAAGAACCTATGTCTGCTAACAGGACTCTGCACCATGACATACAAGCAGAGAACTTAGTTATGGCTATCAGACAATTTCTGTGACCACATCGTCCCTTCCATCTAGTCATCTAGCTCACCAGACTGTAACTCCATTTGATTATTGTGTACGTGGCACAATTGAGCAAGAGATCAACAAAACTCCTTGTAACACCAAAGATGAACTGAAGGCAAGGATTATGGCAGTATTCACCAATTTAAACAAGGAGACTGTTCAGAAAAGTTGCAGGAGATTCCGAAATTGTCTGGAGTCCGTGGTTGAAGCCAATGGCGATCTTATTGAATAGATTTATTATTTTGTTTTTAAGATATTTTTCTGTAATTTTGGTAAATATATCTGTTAAAATGAAATGTCAGTGTTAGTTTCATTTTTGCGTCATTTAGACGACAATTTATCCATCGCACCCTGTATATGTGGGGAAGATAACAATTAACTGTCAACTTAAACTGGTTAAAATTGTAGTGATTGGGGAAGCATCCACTTGGGAGTCTGTTTTTCAAAGCAGCTGTTCGTGGTAAGAAGTTACTCGAGTAGAACTTACATCTCACCAATGGAATGTGAAGGAAATGATAGTGATAGAGGCTTGTGACTTTTTGTCTGTGGGAAAGGGGTTGTAGGGTTCAAATAAAATTCACCACCCACAAGGACGCGGAGATGCTTTTTGATTCAAAAACCACTCCACGATCTTCACTAAGAATGAATGACAATTCGCCGGTAATAATAATAAAAAAAACACTATGTAGAGCCATGATCGCCCACGACCTGAATGGACATTAAAAAAAACTGTCTTTCTCAAATAAGAAACAGTAATTATCATGATTGGTTCAATTTTTTTTACTAGCACGCTTTATTTGCATTTGTTTTCCCATTGATCATTTTATTTTTACCAGAATTGCCACGCTGAAATATTTGATAAAATTAATGTTTTCTTTAAAATCTGTCTATATTTCTCAGGTGAGTTATTATGTACATTATTTACATTATTCGGACTATTGTCCTCATCTTTGTCGCCATATTTATTACAACGTTTCGGCCCTTTAGTATCTGTCTATATTTCTGACATGAGGTATTATGTACACTATTTACATTATTCGGACTATTGTCCTCATCTTTCTCGCCATATTTATCACAACGTTTCGGGCGTTGTACGCTCCGGCCTTCTTCAGGTGGTTGGAATGTCGAACTGAACCCTTTATTTCGCTCATTGGGGTAGACTGTTCTAGTTCCACAGCAAAAAATTGCAATATGAGCATTGGTAAAAAATGGTTGCTGAAGATATTAGGTTTATAATAGCCAGAAATTCATATACAGATGGCACAGTGGATAAAAGCGTTGGTTAGATCCAGTGTCAGGACCCAAAAAGTGTGAGTTCAATACCTGGTTAAGGCAGTGGAGAACTTGCAGTCTGGGGAATTAATAAGAGATAACTGACGTCCATTAAAACATGGCACGTGAAACTAGAACAGTCTATCCCAGTGAGCGAAATAAAGGGTTTAGTTCGACATTCCAACTGAAGAAGGCTGGAGCGTGCAACGACCGAAACGTTGTGATAAATATGGCGACAAAGATGAGGAGAATAGTCCGAATAATGTAGTGTTTCTTTAAAATGTTACGAAATAAAAATCGGATACGATCAAGAAGACATTCCAAACGCCTTTGACAATTTATTTGAATGGTAAATTCAAAAGTGAAGATCACACACAAATATAACAGCTCTGTCCCTATCTGTTATGTCGCCAAAATGGCGATATTGTCAGTTTCGCTGTATGCCATTTCTAGAGTTCAACAGAATATCTTGGCAGCCATTTGGACAGTTTTTCAAGAGCGTCAAAGTGTATCGATTTTCACTTAAGCCTAATCAGTTTTAATACAATAATCGAATCCTTTCATCTAGGATTAACTTTAGTTTCTTTTTGTTAATATGCAAAATGTCACTTGACCCAACGTCAGGCTTGATTTCTTTTCTATGGATCCAGTTTGTTTGAACGGCATATCAAATGCTGATGTTTTGTTGACTAGCGATACCATCACGTTGAAACACCGTTCCAGTATGATCACCGAAGTTAAGCAACGTCAAGCCTTGTCAGTACTTAGATGGCTGACCGCTTGGGAATACCAGGTGCTGTAAGCTTTGAGAGTGTGTGGTGTAATGGATAATGGCTCTGAATTGTTAATCGAAGAGCCGGGTTCAAATTCAAGTTGGGTTCGTTATAGTTTTTACGCGCAACTAGCCTCGGGAGCGGTATGAATTTACTTCTTCTTCCCCCAGCTATGGGTTAATAAGTAAGACTTGTATCACTAAATTATTATTCATACATTTTAATTCTGGGAACTGACCTAAAATAGCGGTTTCGTTTTTCGTTTCCTTCTTCACTGTTTTGAAATCAAAGTTTTCTTCTCCAAGACTGGCAAGAGAGCTATTCTCTACTTGTTATTTAACCCATAACCGAGATTTCTCTCGTGTTTTCCATTGCTATATCTTGTTGTGCCCCCCCCCAGCTTCCTTTTTCTTTAATAATTTTGAATTGCTGTAACTCTCTGATAAAGATAATGTTTTTTCCCCCATTAACTTCTTTAAATTCAGAATTGTCTTTCTCCTATGCTGGTCACCAGTCAAGGTTTAAGAGTCCATCCTTCCCGACTATTTAACTTGTTAACTGGTAGAAGAGAAGAAATAGATCTTTTCCTTTCTTAGAATCATTAGTGAGAAATTAAAGCAACAGACTGAGCCGGGGTTTGAACCAGGCTTGCCAATTCCATTTGTAGCTTGTAAAATTAAAGGGTTGCCCGAGTAGACAACTTGTTTTTTTTTTCCACGGGAAAGGGAGAAGCAGTGTCACTTACGTCTACCGGCCTGTACATTCAAGAGGCTTACTAAATAAAATGTGATCTCTCCATCAGGATCTGAATCTGTGTCCCTACTTGAATAATCATACTTAAACCCTGACGTCTACAGAGAACGTAACATCTTAGCACTGTTCAATTATCCTTTTCAAGAATGCACATCTTTTTGTTCAAACTTTCTCGATGTCGTATATCTGCTCATGTCTTTTTAGAATACGAAACGTAAGCGAAGTAATTTCTAACGAATCAATATTTCTTTTTTTAAAAAATAAGATTTTCCTTAAAAAAATTAATTGATTCCATAAAACATTAATATATTAATATTAAAACTAAATTTGTAAATTAAAAATTTACTAGAAAATTTTACGGTTTTCCTATTTGAAATTTCTGATGAATCTTAATTCTTCAAGTATTGATTGAATAAGCTCATGGCGAGTTCTACGACAATAAAATATCCGTAGAAATTCCCCTATCGCATCGTTAAATATTTGAGCTTAACAACTTTAACAAAATATTGCAATAACAATCATAAATATGTATGCTTGTCATTATTTTAAGAAGTAAGGGGATACAAATGAAAATATTTGAAAATTTCACTGAAACAGACGTTAAACACTTCTATATTCCCTTCATTTTTTTTCTTTCTTTCATTCTTTTTTCTTCTTCTTTTCTTTCTCTCGTTCCTCCCCTCTCTCTTTAAGTATTGTCTTTTCCTCTCTTTTTATGCAATCAAAACGGAAAGGACCGTTATTTATGAGGTATTAGCAGAAGATGTTAAACGCTTCTCTCTTCCATTCTTTCTTTCATTTTCTCACTGAAACCAAGTATTGTGTTTTCCCCTCTTTCCAAACAAATGAAAGCACCAACCATATTTGATGGCATATAGAACCATATTTGATGGCATATAGAATCTCCCAATGAATGTATATATAAATATATATATATATATATATATATATATATATATATATATATATATATATATATAATGGACTCTCCTGTCGGTTTCGACGTATGAGGATCTGACAGCTTTGTTGATTCAGTTATAAAAGTTTATGCGATAATCTTAAGTGACATTTAAGACCTGCTAGTGATTTACAATATTATATATATATATATATATATATATATATATATATATATATATATATAAAAAAGATTTAAACACCATGGAATATTAGTGTTTAAGCCTTTTTATTATATCCTTACTCTGTCCTGACATTGAGTTCTACCTGGATTCTATCCTCGTGAATTATTTTTATACATATATATATGTATGTGTATGTATGTATGTATATATATTTATTTATTTTAGATATATGATTGCATATGTATGTGTATATTTACCACTAATATTATCTATCTACCTAACTATCTATCTATCTATTTATCGATATATATATATATATATATATATATATATATATATATATATATATAGGTCTCGAGAGGCCCCCGTTTCTGTGCCCAATGATTTCTGCCTCAGCTGTTAATGACGGTGTAGCATCTGTTATGGCTGTACAGGCCCACACGGAAGTGACAGTCCCGATTACAACGAATGCATATGAAGACGCTCTCTTCCCGATGTTCCCATGTTGTTTTCTTTCCTTCGAGCATGCTTCAACCCGGCGGCAAACCTTCGTTTCTTCACTCTTCGCTTCATCCGTCGGTGTAAATCGCGCCACCAGCGTGGGCGATTGTTCGCGATGCGTTCCCACCTCTCCATATCCATGCCCATCGCCCTCATATCACTTTTGCAGGCGTCCCTGAAGCGAAGATGAGGTCGGCCTCGTGCCCTCTTGTCGGTAGCCAGTTCCACATAGAGAACGGTATCCTCCCATCAATAGACTGTTGCTTCCCGTGATTTGTCGTCGAGGTCCTGGGCCGGGTTTTCTGCGCTTTATCCTCGTCAGTGCCTTCCAGCTCCTCCCGAACTCCATCTAAAGCTATTCCATATCTATCTATCTATCTATCTATCTATCTATCTATCTATCTATCTGAGGCTATTCCATATCTATCTATCTATCTATCTATCTATCTATCTATCTATCTATCTATCTATCTATCTATTTATTTGAGGCTATTCCATATCTATCTATCTATCTATCTATCTATCTATCTATTTGAGGCTATTTGATATTCCATATCTATTCATCTATCTATCTATCTATCTATCTATCTGAGGCTATTCCATATCTATCCATCTATCTATCTATCTATTTGAAGCTATTCCATTTCTCTATCTATCTATCTATTTGAGGCTATCTATCTATCTATCTATCTATCACGGTCTGTTTCTATCTATCTATCTATCTATCTATCTGCTCATAATCCATTCTTATATTCTTATATCATATCCCCATTTTTCCGGTCTAACTGAATTATATCAAGGCAAAAGCAGACAAGAACATATTCATTAATATTTCATTGTATATGGGGGTTCTTTTAACTGACTTTATTAAAACCTGGAGAACTCTCGTTCGATTTTCAGCAAATCAGTAATGGCAACATTTCACTTATGTCATTAAACATCCATCAAAATTCTCTAAATGCTTCTCATTGCGTAGGGAATTGACGAATAACATCTGTGCCAATTGTATATATAAACGAAGTTTTTGTTACAAAATGGCGTACCTTCTGCAAGATGAAAAACTCCTTCTGCTCAACAAGGCAGTTCGCTCATTTGAAAGAAAAGTAGACTGAATCAATATTTGTTGCTGTATTGCAAATTGTCTTTTTTTTTTCGAATATTTAATGATCAGTTACAGACAAGAGAGCGAACTTTCTACTTTCTTATCTTAACTTTCTTTTCTTATCACAAGTTTTATTAATTTCTTTTCTTTGAACGAACACATCAGTGTTTCGATGCAAATTCGTGTTTTTGCGCATACGCTAGCGTAGCATATCCGGCCTGACAGTGAGTGTTTGTAGTTTTTCCTCATTTGAGTTTATTTTTATTTTTTCATATCAGTGTGTTCAGGATATATATATATATATATATATATATATATATATATATATATATATATATATATATATATATATATGAACAGCTTGGCTTACATACATAGAAATGATAAAAAAAAGATAGATAGATAGATAGATAGATAATGATTAAATTCAGATATGATCAAAGTGAGATAATTATATAGATAGATCGACCAGCCAAAGAAAGAAAGAAACATAGACTGTTTGAGATTATGTCAGGCTGAAATTTACACATTGTTGCTGATTTTACAAGTACACGAACGTACTTAGTACTGAAGATACATTTTGATTTCAAGTGAAATAGGCATATCGACAAAATACATAAAGAACACTGTATAGCTTCTTTTTCTTTCACTGATTATAAAAGAGTTCCAAACTTCTTTTCTTCTGTATGCCGTGTCCCTTCAGGACGTGGTCTATTATCTCCCCCACACACACACCCAAGCATCCTGCTCTTAGAAATCTTTGCCCTTTTACGCTTCCTCCTGATCTCTGTTCTGCCGATCATTTACACGTTAGGCAGGGGCTATTCGCTGTTTTTTCTTGTCTCGCTTGTCTTCAATATGTCTTGTGAGTGTCAAATTCTCCAGGCCTTCTTTCCTCATTATGGGACTTAGAAATTTCAATGGTTTATTTTGGCTTCTAAGTATAAGTGTCCTTTTGGTCGATTCTGCATTAGTTCTGTTCGATTGCCTTTCTTTTCCTCTTTACACTCAAAGGATTTTTCTTGCATTCGATCCGAGTTTTGAATATTCTTTTATTCGGTCCTTCCTTTTACAAACGGTGATTTCAAATCTAAGAGTGATAAAACCGTATTAGTTTCCTATTACGACACAAGGTCTCAAAATTAGAGCGCTCACTGGCAACTGGACCCATAGTTGCAATTAGATTAGTTAGAAAATATTATAGCACGGAAAGCGCACACGACAGTGTAGCAGTAGTAGTAGTAGTAGCAGTAGTAGTAGCATTAGCAGTCGTAGTAGTAGCAGTAGTAGTAGCATTAGCAGTAGTTGTAGGAGTAGCATTAGCAGTCGTAGTAGTAGCAGTAGTAGTAGCATTAGCAGTCGTAGTAGTAGCAGTAGTAGTAGCATTAGCAGTAGTAGTAGGAGTAGCATTAGCAGTCGTAGTAGTAGCAGTAGTAGTAGCATTACCAGTAGTAGTAGTAGTAACATTAGCAGTCGTAGTAGCAGTAGTAGTAGTAGCAGCAGTAGCATTAGAAGTCCTGGAAGTAGTAGTAATAGTAGCATTAGCAGTCCTGGTAGTTGCAGAAGTAGTAGCATTAGCAGTCGTGGTAGTAGCAGTAGTAGTAGCATTAGCAGTCGTAGTAGTAGTAGCATTAGTAGTAGTAGCATTAGCAGTCGTAGTAGTAGCAGTAGTAGTAGCGTTAGCAGTAGTAGTAGTAGGATTAGCATTAGCACTAGTAGTAGTAGAAGTAGTAGTAGTAGTAGTAGAAGTAGTAGTAGTAATTATACCGATGAATGGACGTGAACAGACCTAAAGACATATAAATCTTTTATTTTCAACCCATTCTGAAGGATTCTATGAAGATTTGCTTTGGATTCCTTTCAGAAAAAGGCTAAATGAATTTCTTGTTTTTGAGCAATTTTGAAAATGGGATTAGGATTTGGCTTTAATTCGATACAAAAAAAAGCTTGGAAAATATATTAACAACTTCCGACATGAACTAAGAATTATAAAGAAAAAACTCCGAATCATTATTGACGGCTTTTTTTAAAAAGTCACTAATTTCCTTTCTTCTTTAATCATGAGAGACACCAGCTTAGGTAAAAGTACTAATGATTCATTATTTAAGCAGACACACACATACACACACACACACACACACACACATTTCTTTCTTTCGTTTTTAGATCGAAAGAAGCCTAGAAAGGCGAAACGCGTAATCAAATCTAGTTTCAATAAAACGTTTTCCATTTGTCAAATTTTTAAAAACTTTGTCGACATTCTATATCCTATTTTAAACATATATCGATGAATGAAAGTTTTTTTTAATCATTTCACCTGAAGCATGGCAATAAAAGCCTCTAGGATGAAAAGGGGGGGGAGAACAAGATTCAAAGTCATTGCTACTGCATTTAAATTTTTGAAGATTGTAGTTGACAGGAGGATGCTGAGGATTATCATGGACCAAATATGTGAGCAACGACGAAGTTTTAGAGAAAATGGAAACAAAAAGGAAAATTGGCAGTTGAAAATTCTGGGTCACATAATGATGAAAATGAATCTAAAATAACAATATAAATCTGTCTTCTTCCAATTGATATTATTATCACTATAGGTAGAATATGTTATTACAAATTCAACAATAACTATTACAAACAAAGAGGAAATGTTTTAACATAAGGTAGAAAGTGTGACACTGAGATCCGAAGTTGTATTGGGACAGCCAAAGATGAATGCCAAAAGCTAAGCAGAGTATTAAAAAATAGAAAACTTCGCTAGAAACCAGGAAACGAGTACTAAACTGTTACGTGATATCTGTCCTCCTATATGCCAGTGAGGGCTGGACAGTCTCCTAAAAGATGAAGAAGAAACTTGACGCAGAAGAAATGTTGTTCTAGAGAAGGATGATTAGGATGCCATGGACCAAATATATGAGGAACGACGACATTTTACAGAAAATGGGAAAAAGAAAAGTTATACTTAACATTTCTAGGGCACATAATGAGGAAAGTAGGTTTAGAAAATCTGATACTCACAGGACAGATTAAAGGCAAGAGGAACAGGGGAAAACAACGTATTATATACCTAGTGAGCTTGAGTAAATGGATGACAGAACAGCGTCGAACGAACGTCGCTGTCACTCTGCCTCCGCGCGAAAGCCTCTAAATCGAAACCACGGCCGATGCCGCCACAGTATTACGAAAGGCGTCTCTTTTCGTTCCGCTGTAAAAAGCATTTATATCAGTGAGACATCTGGAAATCTAAAAAGCCCGTATCTATGAACATAAAAGAGATTTATGTTTAGACAAGCATTTAATCTCGCTCATAATTCACAAGAGTAAAACTGGCCATAATTTTGATAATTTTGATTTTAGAAATGCCACCCTAATTAAAAAAAAAACATAATTCCTTACTAAGAAAGTACTTTGAGAGCCTACTAGTAACAATATTACTAATTATATATATTACATAAAATATCACCAATCTTTATTGAAACCATTCTAAAAGAATGTAATTTATACTTATCTAAAATAAACGGTATGTACATAAAAAGGTTCACAAATCTACTTACAAAAACCCAACAATGTCTACTAGACACACACACACACACACACACACACACACACACACACACACACACACACACACACACACACACACTCCATACACGCACACTCATGAATATACATTATCATGTGAATCTCACGTAGACAAATTATAATTATTATACACTTACATACATAAAGCAATATTTATGGATTTTTTGCAGGTAGGTTTGGGATCCGTTAATTTCTTGGACCATCGAGTAGACTTGTCATATCTTCTTGAATTCGGAATGCCACAAATGCACATGAAACCTGATTAACCAATGAAATCAAAGAACACAAAAATTAAAAAGACCAGAATTTTATTCTTCTTTATTTCTGTATGAAGCTCTGATGAATCGATAATAAAAGTGAAAAACCTTTCAGATTGTTAAACATTTCCTACTTGTTCTTTATTTTATGAATATTGTAAATATAAAATTATTCTTGCAAATAAATAATTCAATAAATAAAAAGTTTAATTGTCAATTGCCGAGAAAAAATTATAAATGCAGTTTCACATGTTTAGGTATCATTAAAACTTTTAAAAACAATTTTTAATAATAAAAATTAATCAGGGAATATACAGTAATATATTAAATGAGAAATCGTCTTTTTGTCACATCGTGTTTTTTTTTTTGTTTCTTATTTTTTTTTTGTACGTTCATTAAACTTTACCTGAAATTCAAACGCTTTCGATGAATTCATCGTAAAATAAATTCATCGTTTTTTGTTGTTTTTTTTAATAGAAAAAAGTTATAAATTCTAATGCGACAGCTTGTTTATTCCATATTTTTTTTTTTTTTTTTTTTTTGTGGTGGGGGTCTGTTTAATCTCATCAAAAGATGCAAATGAAAGTAACTTCTGCTTTTTGAGGCTG